AAAAAAAAATAACGTTCCTTTCTATTTTGTTTTAGTAAAAGTCACTTTTTAGCAATTTGAGAACAAAAAAAAAAATTATTTTTTATTTTAATTTGTTTAATTGACAATTGAGATTAAAAACAAAATTAATAGGATCCATCATGTTTGGCAAATGCTAAAAAATTTAAATGAACAATAAATTATCATGTGTAACATTCATTTTGTTTAATCGACAATTGACATTAAAAAATAAAAAAATAAAATAGAAAATAGAATCCACAATCTTTATCAAGTGCTAAAACAGTCATTCATTTTCTTAATTTTTTTTGTCTTTTGTTAAAAAAATTATTTTTCAAGTCCTTATAGTTTAGAAGGATATAAATTTTTTTATAAAATTTAAAACCAAAAAAGACAAAAATAAAAATATAAACTTTTAATAACGAATAATAATTTGAACACTTGTATTTAATAATATATTATATTTACACCAATATATTATAATACACCGGTATGACACGTGAATATTGATCTCATTCTAAGACCAAGTTTGGCAAGTTGTCAAAAAGTCAAAAAGTTAAAAAGTTACTCAAAAAGTTAAAAAGTTATCACTATTCACCAAAAGTCAAAAATTACGGCTACACAACTCTCAATTCTAATTTTTCCTTACACACTAATTTATACAATTTTTTAATACACATTTTTTCATAAAAAGTCAAAAAGTTTACCCAAACAATCATATTTTTTTCCTCAACTTTTAGTCTAAAAATTCAAAAAGTGCACTTATTTAGGACATCTCAAATAACCCTTTTGTAGTAACATAATTTAAAGAATAATTTAAATTTAAAATTTTATTTTGTAATTCAATAAATGGTGCAAAATTTAATGAATGAATAGTGATCTCATTTCAATTATTGTAGTAACATAATTTAAGGAAGAATTCAAATTTAAAATTTTATTTCAAAGATATAAAATTAATTTATAGACGAATTATATTGTGACACATATTAATAAAAATTAAAAAATTAAGCAATAAAAAAAAGAATTACAACTTTTAGCCTTATAAAGATGACAATATTTTGCAATTATAATATTATATAGATATAAATAAATCATGGGATAGATTATTATTCAAAACTTATAAATCATAAGATAGATCATTACAAATTTAAATTTAAATTAATGGATTGCTTCACATATAGAGTCCCTCAAATTTAAATTTTGAAATGGATTAGTATACTTTTTATCTTTTTATTTTATATATTTGATATACTTTCCATTTGAAAGTCATATATCAGGGATATTATTTTTTATTTTTTATTTTTTTTTTATTTGAATGAGAGCTAGCCAATATAAGATTTTTTTAATTATTTAAAATCAAAAAATTAAAAAATTTAGTTTGAGATATTGGAGCTCCCACAAAATATGTGGGTTAAAAATTCCATTTTTCTTATAATATACAGATAATAAAATGAAAGTTTGAATCCTACATACTCAAATCTGCATTTAACATTTCAACTAATTTCAATCCAATTTTGTTTTATATTTATATGAAAACAAGGCCATATCATCAATGATTTTCTTAAAGAATTTGAAAGTCCGAAGTAAAATTGATACGGGCGGCTACCCCTAAGTTTCCAAAACCTCTCATTATAGCAATATTCATGAAAATTTATTTTAAATGATATATATTTAAGGATTAATTATTTAAAAGTTGTATTGGTAAGGTTGGTGGTCTATTAAGTCCTACTTTATTTTTTTAACCCGTAAAGTCTTATTTTCAAAATATTTATATAAATGATTATTTTATCCTTATTAAAAGACGGAAGGAATTAAGAAGCGTCAATATATTGAGTACTAATAAAAAATTATTAAATATTACAAGTGCATCACATGATAATGTTATTCACTAATCACCAAGTATTATGCCTCATATCCCAATACAAAATTATGAGATTCATCATCTTCACCAATCACAAATCTTTTGATAGACACCTAATCATACCTCAAAAGTACTAGATAAATTCTCTTATTGAAGTGAGTATTATTGAGGTAACATGTATTTTGTTTTGTAGTTTCAAAATTTAAAATTTTCATAACTTTTAATATGTGCATTTATTTTTAATAAAATTTAATTTTTGGAGTCTACACAATGAGATCTATCAAACAAACTAATATTAAATATAAATTTTTTTAAAAATAAAATATTATTTTTTTAGCAATACAAAACTAACAATTTCTCAATTTTCATAATTATCCAATAAAATTGAGAAATTTATCAATTTTTTCTAATATTAACTGAGAATATTATTAGTTTTTGAGAAATTTCTAAGTTTTTTTTCATTTTAAAATTGAAATTTTTCCAGTTTAAAAACTAGTAATATTCTCTGTTTTAAACTAGAAAAAATTGAAAACTTTCTTAATTTTGCACAGAAATATTCCTTATAATTGTTTTGTCAACTAAAAAATTTACAATTTTTTTAGTTCCATAATTGACATATTTCACAATTAGTTTATGTATGTTTATGTGTGAAATATAGGTTTTATTTGTTTAAAATTTTAATTTATGGTTAGAAATTAAGAAAATTATAAATGAAAAATTCATATTAATCTTGCTTGATAAATTTCATTATGTTAACTGTAAAAATATAAATTTTATCAAAAATAAATACATATTGTAAAAATTATGATGTTTTGAAGTTATAAAAATTAAAATGTCACATGACTATACTTTTTTATAAACCATTACAAATGATGACCAAATATTGTTTGAAAGACAATTTCATCCATTAAAAATTAATAAAACTTGAAGGAATAACCAATCTTAGGCTTGGTTTGGGAAGTGGGTTGACTTTTTGGCTTTTTGGCTTTTTTGGCTATTTTAGCCTGGGCTTAAAAGCTTGGTTTGGGAAGAGCTTTTTGGCTTTTTGGCTTTTTTACTTTCCATTTGAAAGTCATATATCAAGGATATTTTTTTTTTTTTTATTTGAATGAGAGCTAGCCAATATAAGATTTTTTTTAATTATTTAAAATCAAAAAATTAAAAAATTTAGTTTGAGATATTGGAGCTCCCACAAAATATGTGGGTTAAAAATCCCATTTTTCTTATAATATACAGATAATAAAATGAAAGTTTGAATCCTACTTACTCAAATCTGCATTTAACATTTCAACTAATTTCAATCCAATTTTGTTTTATATTTATATGAAAACAAGGCCATATCATCAATGATTTTCTTAAAGAATTTGAAAGTCCGAAGTAAAATTGATACGGGCGGCTACCCCTAAGTTTCCAAAACCTCTCATTATAGCAATATTCATGAAAATTTATTTTAAATGATATATATTTAAGGATTAATTATTTAAAAGTTGTATTGGTAAGGTTGGTGGTCTATTAAGTCCTACTTTATTTTTTTAACCCGTAAAGTCTTATTTTCAAAATATTTATATAAATGATTATTTTATCCTTATTAAAAGACGGAAGGAATTAAGAAGCGTCAATATATTGAGTACTAATAAAAAATTATTAAATATTACAAGTGCATCACATGATAATGTTATTCACTAATCACCAAGTATTATGCCTCATATCCCAATACAAAATTATGAGATTCATCATCTTCACCAATCACAAATCTTTTGATAGACACCTAATCATACCTCAAAAGTACTAGATAAATTCTCTTATTGAAGTGAGTATTATTGAGGTAACATGTATTTTGTTTTGTAGTTTCAAAATTTAAAATTTTCATAACTTTTAATATACGCATTTATTTTTAATAAAATTTAATTTTTGAAGTCTACACAATGAGATCTATCAAACAAACTAATATTAAATATAAATTTTTTTAAAAATAAAATATTATTTTTTTAGCAATACAAAACTAACAATTTCTCAATTTTCATAATTATCCAATAAAATTGAGAAATTTATCAATTTTTTCTAATATTAACTGAGAATATTATTAGTTTTTGAGAAATTTCTAAGTTTTTTTTCATTTTAAAATTGAAATTTTTCCAGTTTAAAAACTAGTAATATTCTCTGTTTTAAACTAGAAAAAATTGAAAACTTTCTTAATTTTGCACAGAAATATTCCTTATAATTGTTTTGTCAACTAAAAAATTTACAATTTTTTTAGTTCCATAATTGACATATTTCACAATTAGTTTATGTATGTTTATGTGTGAAATATAGGTTTTATTTGTTTAAAATTTTAATTTATGGTTAGAAATTAAGAAAATTATAAATGAAAAATTCATATTAATCTTGCTTGATAGATTTCATTATGTTGATTGTAAAAATATAAATTTTATCAAAAATAAATACATATTGTAAAAATTATGATGTTTTGAAGTTATAAAAATTAAAATGTCACATGACTATACTTTTTTATAAACCATTACAAATGATGACCAAATATTGTTTGAAAGACAATTTCATCCATTAAAAATTAATAAAACTTGAAGGAATAACCAATCTTAGGCTTGGTTTGGGAAGTGGGTTGACTTTTTGGCTTTTTGGCTTTTTTGGCTATTTTAGCCTGGGCTTAAAAGCTTGGTTTGGGAAGAGCTTTTTGGCTTTTTGGCTTTTTTGAGTTTTTTTGTGAGAGAAGAATGTAATGATTATGGGTTGGATGTGATGTTTTGTTTGTTATGGCTAAAATAGCCTATTTTGTTTTTTGTGACTAAAATAGCCAAAAAAGCCTCCAACCTCACTTGCCAAACAGAGGCTTAATAGAGTATAAGTTAACAAAATGAGATTTGTGTGTAAATACCAAGAATTGTCAATCCTTTTAAGAATTAACCACGTCATCATTCTAACTCTTCTAACGCTGTGTTTGGTTGAGAAATTTAAAAAAAAATTTAGAAAGAGAAAGAAAAAAAGATGTGTAAAACTAAATAAAATGTAAATATATTTTATTTATATTTGACCTACCTTTTTCCTTTTTATTTTCAAATTTTTTTCCAAATCTCCCACTCAAATACAAATACAGCATAAAGGTACAAAGTAAAGCAAAAGCCACTAAAAACACAAATAACAGTATACAAGGTTAGGCAGCTTCAGCATCAAGTCATACAAAAAGTGGAGAAATCTATGAAGTCATTTACATATGGTGAGACAGAATGGAGTTTGTCCATTAAGCAATGACATGAAACACAATCTCTCCTCTATTTCCAAGTATTTCGTTTCAACTTCATGTACTCTCTAAAAGAAAGTTTTTCTTTTCAGAAAAGTTTCTGCAAAACACGTACAAACCTTCAAACATAGCTCTCTAAATCTACAACACCAATGAAAACAATAATCATCTTCATCAATCAAAGTCCCTCGGTGTCCCTGTCTGAAATCTGAATACACATATGGTTGGTAAATCTAACAAGTCAGCTTCTTCTTCTTCTGCTAAAATTCGAAGAAACAAACAGTTGGAGCTGAGAACCTATACAACTCCAAATAAAATTTTCTTTTTCTTTTTCTGGTTTCCTTTTCTTTTCTTGGAGTTATAATTGAATTGTCACTTGGAAGTAAAGAAACACTTTGATCTCTTCCAAAACCCTATAGCTCCAATTTTGACCGGCCTGCTAAACATAACGAAATTTCTGAGGTCAGAATATTAACAAGCAATAAGAAAATTTTACGTAGTAAATCTTGAGTGAGGTGAGCTATGTGCAATTACCATTTGGTCCCAGATTGCCGATAGCAGGATTAGAATCAAATCCCATTTGGAGAAGACTTTGGAACTCATTGTCCCATACATTCTGCATCTACATGCCTTGTGTCAATGCTTTTGCCAAAAATGAAATTAAAAAAAAAAAAATCTAGTTTAGTAAACAAGGAGTTCTAGTTACCTGAGGCATAGAATGAAATGGAGATGTGCTCGGGACACCTGGCAAGGCTCCCTGTGGCAAACCTTGTAGGTAAGGGCGATAAGAGCTCGTTCCGGGACCAAATCCAGGAATAGCTACACTGCTTCCTCGCGAGTGTTGAATCTGTGTGCAAGGAAAACTAAGACAAAGTTCATAACTAAATAGCTAAAATAAGGTTTTGATTTATTTGGTACAAGTTTAACTCACCTCTTTGGACAGAATTCTTTCTATGTCAATGTTCAATTCTGGATTGACAGTGGCAAGTTTCATTGACAAAAACTGCAAAATATGCAAGGAGAATCAAGTTATATTGTTTGAATTCTGTGGAACTGCAAAATGATTCTCAATTTCATGTTCTGTTATTGAGTAGATTTGCAAAAAATTTAAGGGTTACAACACATTGGAACTATTTTCCTTACAGTTTTTATTTCAATTGTAAGAGACAAGACCACACTGCACAAAATGGTCAGAAACCCCAATTTCACCACTTTTCAGCTATTACAAGAAGTTTGAACACCAAATCCCTCATAAAGGACAGTCCCAGTGCACAAGGATCTCGTTATTGTGGGGTCTGGGGAGGTCATATATATGTGTCCTTAACCTCTATTAGGCGAGCACAGTTTTATAATAGTGGTATTGGAAGATGAATTAGTGTCGAATGCAATGTAGCAGTATCAGGAGTATTGCGCAATACGCACGGAGAATCAGGCAATGCAACCATAAATTTTTAACATATTGAGCATCAATAAAAATAAAAAAAGACCTTTATAGTAGCCAAATTGGCCATATTGACTGTGAACCAACTTGAGTATCCATTGTGAACTGTGTCGGAAATGACTGATACACATGTAATTTTTATTCCCATCGGTATTAGGGCATGTATTTAAAAACCGCTGATACTTGGTTTAAACACATGATGCCTATGTTACCATGGAACAAGGCCCACACTCATTATAACCCTCCCTTATACAGAGACCTTTAATAACAAAATAGACAATCAAGCTTTATCATAGAGTTGCAGAATGAATACCTCAACTTGCTGTTGCAGGGACTGCACATAGTTAATGATTTCATCAAGCATTACTGCCTTCCCTGTGATCTATTAATTAAATAACACCAAAATTTATCACCATTCCAAATCAAAGCTCAAACTAAGCGTTAGAATGACCAGAAACATAGATCTTCTCAAATTACCTTATTGCATCCTGGAACAAGTTCTTGAAGCAATCTCATTCTCTCACTAATCCTCTCTCTTCTCACCTTCAAGAAAAAAGATTTGAGGTTCACTAACATGATATATATGAAACATAGAATAAACACATCATGTAATCTTTCACAATAAAAAGATACCCTTTCGGCAAGGCTGTGACTATTCGTTGCCTGGCCTCGTCTTGCCCTCACATGTATGTAATTTTCTTTAGTTTCTTCTCCGCTGTTGGAACTACCTTTTGGTTGTTTACCCGTTTGCTTACCATGCAAATCAGCACTTACGTTTCGTTCAATTTTCTGTTTCTTCCCATCCTGTACTTCCCGATATTCGGAACTATTGCCAGAATTATCTGTGTTTGGATCTCCCTCACCATTCTATAGCAAATATCAGACAATTTATCAATTGGTTATACATGATCATAGGGAAATCAAAATGTAAGACTATTTACCTTGGTAGGATTGAAGGGAGAATTGGACTCTGATACCCTCTTTTTCCCCTTTCCACAAGGTGTAATGCCCATTATACCCTCTTCTGAAATTGGATACTCTCCCTGACAAAGTGCACCATTTGTTGATATCTTTTCAGTGCCATGGTCGTTTTGGGTATAATTTGAAGGACAACCAGTACTAGCAATCTGGGCACACTCAGGTAAGCCAAAGGGACTTGCCATATCTGAGAAACACCCACTTCCAAGGCATGAAAGCTTTGGGACCATCTCAACGAGACCAGAATCAGATAGATAGTGAACAAAATGAGAGGTACTACTGGGTATAGCCTGATTTTCAAGTGCAACAGAGTAAGGTGAATTACCAAACTCACTGCTAGGAACCACTGAAGAGCCTCCAAAATTCTTACCTTGACCAAGTGAAACAAGTGGGTCCCAACCAGAACCAAAGTAAAGGTCTGCACCACTACTAGAAGATTTGAACATGGACCCAGAGCTCATTGCCATTTCAGCAACCTTGTCAGACAGTGGATTTGTGTTCATCACAGAAGATGGGCAATTCAGAATGCTATCTCCACCACCACATGTTTGTTGAAATCTCAAACTGCAGTTATCCTCAGTACCCATATACTGAAAACAAAAACAAGACCTCCAAAACCTACGGAAATCAACTTATACACCTTAAGAAGAAAACCCAACTCAAGGGTTACCCCAAACAAGGCCTAAATAGATATACTTAATGAACAGTGAGTGAGTTTGACCAAAATTAGCTGGTAATGTCTTGCAGGACTCAACAAGGAATAAATAACTTGGGCAGCTTTATAGAACTGAGAGGTCTTAAAGCAAAAGGAAACCTCTCATTGCAGGCATCAAATAGACACAAAGGAAAAGTTAAAATCCAATGTACCAAAGCATAAAATCTACACAGCACCCAGCTACTTGCTTCTGCTTTCAAAAACCCTAGGATCAAGTCTACTCTCTGATGTAGGAAAAAGTAAATCACAGAGACAAGAAAGTGTGAACCTTTCAGAGCATAAAGTAAAACAAAGAAGAAAATAAAAATGGCAATGGCTCAGTAACAAACAGCTCACCAGACCAACAAAAAGAAAGAAGATTCCCTTTTCCCCTCTTTTTGTTTATGGGTTGAAATCTTTTCTTTTTACTTGTTTCTTTTTTTTTTTCCTTTTTTTTTTCCTTTTTTTTTTTCACATCCTCCACACAATTGAACACTAGTTTTGATCTAAAGCAAGCTTGAATCTCTTAATTTGAGACCCAAACGACGAGAACAAATTAAGATTCAAACTAGGAAATAATGGAATCTAGAGAACTCCTGATATGGAAATATACCAGCTGTTAGAAGTTGAAGATATGAATCAAAAGCACAAGAACCCAAACAAAGGGTAGTTGCATAGACCCTAGGTTCTCAGAAGAGGGTACCCAAAAAAAGACCAGAAAGCATCAAATTCTACTTGAATAATTTTTTTTTTCTTTTTTTTTTTATCAAGAAATTCTACTTGAATTGAAACCGACAGAGTCTAAACAGTGCTCCTAAATTGGGTATTTGATAGAACCCTGGACACCATCAATTGTTTGCTCAAATTCTCCAAAGAAAAACCAAATTGGTCCTTGCAGAAATGGCATTGGAAGAATCAAATTCCTATTTTATAGATCATAGACCAATTTACAGAGCTAGCAGCCTAGAGATAGAAAGCATAAAAAGAGGAGAGAGAGAGAGAGAGAGAGAGAGAGAGAGGGAGAGTGAGCGCCTAGCTTACCTGTCCAAGATATAACAGGTGACATGCATGATTTTGGAAGACAGACTAACTACTGCCAACTGCTCTGGTAAATTATTTCAGAATCTAATCTTTCCCTCATACTTCATTACTCATTACTTCTTTGTGCCCAATCATGAGCGACCCCCAACACCCCCAGCTGGGCTCCAAGTCATTTTTCTTCCCCCATACTTCATTACTCATTACTTCTTTGTCATTTTATTTACATATAAATATGTATAGATATCTACATATTTGAATATAATATGTAATAATTATTTTAAGAAATTGATTAAAAATTAATTTTTTATTTTTTTAAAAGAGTATATAAAAAATAAAATAATAATGTTATTTAATATAAATTAAAAATTAATTTTAACTTTTAGCCACGTTCGATTGGTTCCTCTCTTTAAGCCCAAGCTTACTGCCTTGACATCTCTCTCTTTTTTACTGACGCAAGGGCCAACCATCCTAACAGGCCTCTCTTCTTCGTCTTTTCTTTTTTCCGTTCTTTTTTAATTTAATGCACGATGATTTTTCTCATTGCTAACTAACCCGACAATTCTTTTTAGACAACATCCATTATGCATAAGCTTTCAGTGACTATTCAGTGTTCGTTTGACAAATTTAATTGAGTTAAAAAAACACAAAAAGATAAAATAGATTAAATAAATTAATAAGATAAATGCATATTTAAATTATAACTATTTTACTTTTTCTTTCATAAAAATTAAAAAAGGGTATAGCTTCTGTCCAGTCCGATAATCTGAACTGTGTTGTTGGGCATGTGGGGACTTACCACGGGTCTCATTTTGATAATCTGAACCGTTCGATGTGTAGAAATCGTCGAGTACTATATGCCTGCAAAAAATCACGTTGACCGGATATCGATAGTTATGTGATCAAAACAGTTTTTTGTCAACCGTTAATTTGTTCACCTTCCAATTATTTTAATACGAAACTAATTGGATCATATAGCTATCGATATCCGATCAACGTAATTTTTTATAAGCATATAGTACTCGACGAGTTCTACACATTGAACGGTTTAAATTATCAAAACGGAACCCGTGACGGGCCCTCACGGGCCCAGAAACACGGTCTAGTCCGATCCCGGATTGGATAGAAGCCATACCCATTAAAAAAATCAAACTAAACAAACTTTTTAATCCCAAATAAAAAAAATTTCAAACTCAAAATCTAACTAAAAAAAAAACAATGCCCAACAGCGACTTAGTTTGGGACTATTATGGTTTTGTTTGGAAAGTGGGTTGATTTTTTGACTTTTTGGCTATTTTAGCCTAGGCTAAAAAGTCTCGTTTGAGATAAATTTTTTGACTTTTTTTTATTATGGATTGAATGTAATGTTTGTCTTATTGGGCTAAAAAAATTTTTTTTTTTTTTTTGTGTGTGTGACTATTTTAGCCAAAAAAGCCCCACACCTATCTTCATAAACGGAGGCTATGCTAGGTTAAATGTTGAAACAGTCCCGCTACAAACCACTAAAACATGACCACTAGAAGCAGCTCTAATTACGTGGCATCCAAGAAGGGAGGAAAAATGACACTTTCATATTACAGTGCGTGTGTTTCACGCACTGTGATTAGGGAAAAAAAAAAAAATTCCCGCTCAAAAATCTGATAACAGAGGAGAAGAAATCGTGTTTCAACTCTATTCCCGCTGAAGCTGTGATCGGCGTCCCTCTCCTCCACCGTGTAAATTGTAACGGGGTTTCCACCGCCGTCCCTCTCCTCCACCATCAAGCGTTCATTTGCTATCTCCGTTTGCAGATTTCGTGTCCCTCTCTGTCTTCCCTCTCTTGGTCAAGCATTTGCAGATCTCTCCCTCTCCTTCGTTCAGGTCAATTTCTGTCCGGTTGTCGTCCCTCTCCTCCACCATTTAAATTGTAGTTGTATTCTGTAATGAAATATATATATATAAACATACATTGAAGAAATTTTTATAATCTGTTAAACATACATATATATATATATATATATATCAGATTATAACATACATATATATATATATATATATATGATTATACCAAACATATATATAACAGATTATAGCATACATATAATTTGTTATTGAAAAGATAATTGGTAACTGGTAAACATACATATATAATCTGTTATAACATACATATATATATATATATATAAACATACATATATATATAACAGATACATAAATTGTTATAATCTGTTAATTTTTGAAAGGGTAATATGTTATAATCTGTTGTTAATTTTTGAATAATCTATTGTAATGAAACATACAAGAGCTTGCATCATTGAAAGGGTAACTGGTACAATGTAGTGACCCTCATCCTCGCCTTAGTCATGTTTATATGCATTTGCATGTTTCGTTTGTTAAGCTTGCAGTTGTGGTTTTGACTTGTTTTGCCTAAAGTAAGGTTCCCGTCTTGTTTTGTACCTTTGTGTTTTGGCTTGAGTATTGTTTGTACGTTTTGTCCTTTGCTTGGTGTGTGTAGCCGAGGTCATCTTAAGCCTAGGTCGCGCCTTTGGACCTTTTACACCTAGGACCATCTTGGAACCCCTTTGGCTGACCTCCACCTTCACCCTGGCATATTGGCCGAGATGTCATCATCTAAGCAGAGGTGTGCATCACCGAGGCCGAGATATGTATCATCTAAGCCGAGATATTATCCTTTAGGTATTTTAGATCTTTGATCCCTGCACCTGGTGATCTCGTTCCTAGACTAGTATGACCTAGACCAAGGTGTGGCACATCTAGGTCGAGGTGTGGCACAGTTGGGCCAAGTGTTAACCTTCCTAGCCAAGATCATTGAGACCTTACTTGCCGAAGCCTTGTCCTAATCCGAGGTCCTTACCTGCCGGAGTGCCCATGTCACCTTACTTGTTGAACACCCTTTGTCATGCTCTTGTCATGTCATTCAGTCACCTTTTTTAGGAAACCCAATCCAGTAGTGCCACGTGCCCCAGCAGGTGGTTAAGTCAGCCGGCAGTGGGAGAAAACATATCATTGTGTGTCATATTTTGCATGGTAGAGAGAGAAGCTCTAGGAAGAAGAGGAAGAAGTTCTTAGAGTGAGAATAGATTTCCAAGCTTGATCCTTAGAGTTTGAACCATTGGATTCATGATTTGAGGTTAGATTCTTGTTTTGCTCTTGTTGTTCTTTTTGTTCATCTAACTACATTGTATGATCTAGCATGATTCATAAGCCATGCATTGCTTTGAAATTCGGTTTTAGAAAGAGAAAATGATGTTCTTGTGTTCTTGAAAGAAAACCATGTTTTGATCCGAAAGTTTGTATCAAGATCCATGTTTTTGTGTTTGTTTTCATAAGATCTTCACGTATGAGTGCCCAGGTCCATGTTTTCGAACTCATCTCATGAAATCTCAGATTTTGAATAAAGAAGTTATGATTTTAACACTCATGTTCTTCAAAGGGAAGCCCAGGTTTTCCCGACTTCATTTCCTCGAATGTGGCCGTTGGGACCATACCTCGGCCAAGGGGTGTGGGACCCCGGCCAAGACCTGGTTGGTACCCAGCATGTTTTTCTCGAGATGAAAAACAGTGTTTTAACTTCCAGCATGTTTTGCTTTGACTTGACCTAGTTTAGAAAGAAATGCCGAGATCCTTTCCTGTCATGTAAAGCTTGTTCTAAGGGTGCATTTCATATCCATCTTTGAGCATCTCTTCTTGTCCTCTTGAAATGCATTCAATGGAATTTATTATGTACTTGTAGGCCTTGGATCCTTGCTTGTAACCCCCACACCTGAAGAGCTATGTGAGTGGCATTTTTAATAAAGTTATGTTATAAAGTTTTGATAAAGCTTTGTTTGTTTTGGAAAAGTATTTGATCAAGCATGAATGATTGTCCCTAGTTTTGTATCTAGTATTATATTCGTTTTGATGACATTCCGGGAAAGTCCTTAGTGCCAGGGGACTATAATGCAACTGCACCCTTATTTTGAAAGTCCTTAGTGCTAGGGGACTATAATGCGACTGCACCCTTGTTTTGCCACCGACGGTTTTCCGCGTGGGTCTGTTTGTCTGGAGTGTCATCCCTTGTACTATATTGATGCTAGTAAGCATCCCTTGAAGCTTTGAAAGATTTGACAGATGGACTTGGTTCATCTCTTGATTTTGTATAAGATATGTTATGTATTGTTTGGCAAAGATCTTGAATATCAGTCATGCAAACCTTTATTTCTAATACCATTCACTGAGTATCCAAGCTCACCCTCTATATATATATATATATGTAGGTGACGAGCAGGAGGGCGGTGATGCCTAGATGTGTTTTGCCTGATGTTTGGATTCATACTTTTGTTAGCATCTTGAAGATTATGCTTCTTGGCTTTGTGTTTCACCTTTTTTGTACATGTCGGCTTGAGAAGCCTTTTGATCAAGATGTAATATGTACTTTATTTTATTTGCATTCAAGTTGTAAACCATGTTAAGATGTATGTCATTTCATTTGATCTATGCACAGCTCTTATGGACTACTTAGATTTAAATTTATTGCTTTTGCACATGTAAGCCCCATATGTATACTCTGATTGTGTGTGAATCTTTGTAAGTTGGCCTTTGGTAATCTCGGATTACTAACCATCATGGTACCATTCTACTAGGAGCGGAATAGGGTCGTGACAGATTGGTATCAGAGCACCGGTTCCTTATGGTGTTTCGTAAAGGGGAGTTGTGTTGGAGAAAGAGAGAGTTATGGGTAGTATGGATTTGAAGGAATCCTTGGTTGATTTGGGTACGAGAGATGATAAGAAATTCAGTGGTGGTGTATGTATTCAGTAGTTGATTGGTAGCTAAGTCGGTTGGTCACCTGTGTAAGAGTGTAATTGGTAGGTCTAATTGTTGTGGGACTTCTCATTTAGGTTTTGGTCAAATATGTCATGTGAGAGTTTAATTGCAAGAAGAAGATAGATGGTGAGTAGGTGACCCATGTGGGTGTAGTGATAGCTCTAATAATTACTCAATCAAGT